AGAGATCGAGGCATCGAGCCTCGTCAAGCACCTCAAACTCCTGGCGGTTCACGATCCTCTGCTCAGCCTCCAAGTAGCTGGCTACGGGTTAGCAGGGCATCCACCATGCGCTATTTTTCTATTATATAGTTGGCCAATAATGTTATGTCTATTTATATAGGACGGGTCTTGCTCTTGCTCAGGTCTGTTTCAAACTCCTGAGCTCAAAGGTCCACCACCTCAGCTCCCAGAGAGGCTAAGATTAGGCGTGAGCCACCGCTCCCGGTTTGTAATTTTCAGTGTTCATGGAGGAATGAAAGCCCAGGCGAGAGTAAGGCAGATGATGTCCCCCCAGAAAGCACTGTCTTCTGTCTGGAAGCTCCAGCGAGGGCGGCCTCTTTACCTGCTCGAGGGTTGCTTTCTGTGGGAACCGAGGTGCAGCTTTGGTAGTTTCAGTCCACTTAGTTCGAGCCTTGAGTGTGGTGTCCGGCCACTGCCTACAGTAGAGATGGTCTCCAAACAGGTGTCCGAGGAGATTCTGGCAACCCTGAACATCATCCCCTAGAAGCGGCTGGACTTCTGAAGGACACCCTCTTCCCCAGGCCAACAACTGTCCGTCTCCAGGCCTTCCCTCCAGGAAGTCTTCCAGAACCACCAGGCTGTGTGAGGACCCTACCTTCAAGCTTTTGCCACATTGCTCTGGGATGACCTGGGTTTGGGCTCTCCCCTGTCCCCTCCATCCCCCCTGACACCACAGATCTCCTTGAGAACAAAGACAGTGCCTCAACCATCTGTTTCACCTGGACAAATAGTGGTTGTGAGTTGGCTCAAAAGCTAACACTCAGTAAATATTTGTTTTTGTTTTGTTTTGTTTTGTTTTTGAGACGAGTCTCACCTGTTTGCCCAGGCTAGAGTGCCGTGGCGTCAGCCTAGCTCACACAACCGCAAAACTGGGCACAAGCGATCCTCCTGCCTCAGCCTCCAAGTAGCGGACTACAGGCATGCGCCCATGCTAGCTAATTTTCTATATATATATTTTTAGTGCCAATTAATTTCTTTAGTTTATAGAGACGGGGTCTAGCTCTTGCTCAGGCTAGTTTTGAACACCTGACCTTGAGCAATCCGCCCGTTATAGCTTGCTGGGGCCGCCCGGCCTCAAGCCTGCCCAGATGTGTCTCTTAGGAAGTCCTATAATGGATTGAGTGGCCACTTGCACCACGCTGGGTCAGAGCAGTAACCGTATTTGGCCATTGGGAGTGATGCAAACAAACCAATCTGGAGAAGGAGTTAGTAAGCTGCGCTGCGGCCGTTGGGGCGCTGTGGTCGGTCTAGCATGCTGGGCACTAGACGTGACGATAGACATCGGGGCGTTGGTGCACAGGCCTCTCAAGGGTGGTCTGGAGAGCCCTGGCCGGCACAGAGGCCCTGCCAAATCAGTAACCCCCAGTCTCCTCTTCTGATTTTGCATGATACTGGTTGGTGCTCTGTCTTCCTCATGTTTAGAGCGGTAGGTATTTGAAAAAGAGACAGTAAAGCGATGGTGGGTTGAGAATAGTGCGAATAGATGCCTCCCAAGGATTAAAACAACAATTTGGCACCTTGCTCTGGATCATCAGGGCTTCAGCCAGATTACAGGAATGGTTTGTTGCAGAGATAGAGAGGCGCGTTAGTCGGCGACTGTAGCATGATGGGTCCTTTTTAGGGCTCTTCTAAGGTGTGCGCTAATGGGAACGGTTAGATAAGCCAGGGAGACACTCTACCTCTTGGGGGAAGAAAATCAGAGAAGCTGATTATGGGATGGAGGTCCGAGTCATGGGCACGTCGATGAGGTGTGGGCCGGGAAATCGGCGCAAGCCGTGGCCCTGAATTAAGGAGTAGAGCTGTAAAGCGCATGGTTCGTGCGCTCGACAGCTCCATCCGGCGCTGCGGTTTGCTCTGTGTTTCGCTGCCCTTTTGCTCCTCGCGACTCGTTAAGCAATGGCACATTGGCAACGGTAACCTCCATCAGGTTTTGCTCACCCTCGCTGCGTGGATTCTGAAGTTATGCAGGTATAGATTCCTCCGAGCATGAAGAGCTCACCAGAAGTGCTCACGAACTGCCAGAATGGTGTTCGAATGTGATGGGGGGGCTTGTAGTTGTGGGGTATTGGAAACAGCAGCGAGAAGGTGTAGGGCAGACCTGGGCTCCGACTGACCGGCGTTTGCAGGATGGACGGACCGGCCGGCTTGGCCCTCCCAGCACTGTCCGTGTCCTTGACGAGGTGGGCAAGCAAAAGCAGTGGTGGGATTCCGGGTCCTTGGTGTTGCCTCTTCTGTTAGTGCCCCGGTGCGGATGATCGTGTTCCGGTCCCAGGGAGTCCCGCGCTCGTGGAGTTCATCGCTCTATTGGCGACTGTGATGACGAAGCGTGGCATCCTTAATTGTCGCTTTGGGAACTCAGGATGATGCCCACGGTGAAAATGGTGGAAGATATTGGCGTGTTCACCCTCATCTTTGTCACCTCTGAACCTCAGGTGGAAGGGATCTTGCAGGACAGGGAATCCGCAGGGACACGGAGGTCGGAAAGTGCTAATGGTGAGTGGTACCCCTGTTTTCTCAGTCATCCGTTCAAGTGGCCGGGAGTGGGGGATGCGGGGGGTTTTCGTAGGAGTGGTAGAGTTCCCCGCGTCTCCTACGTTGTGCGCGACCGGCGGCAGGCGTCGACACTCCAGTGGGGCTCAACGCCTGTAATCCTAGCACTCTGGGGAGCCGAGGGAGGGAAGGATGTGAGGTGATGGGGTGCGGGGTATGGTAGGATGGCGTGCTTGGCATGCGGCCCGATACGCGTCTGTGTTGTTATAAAAAAATAACCCGCAAAGGCAGCTCGAAACTCG